CGGCAGCGGGCCGGCTCCCGCCGAGCAGCCCGACCTGTGCTCCGCCGGGCGCGGGGGTGAGGGCGGTCGGGGCGCGGAAGAGCTCTGGTTAAGCGCCTGGCAAACCGCCCCCGGCCTCGGGAGCGACCGGGCGCCTCTGCGCTGAGCGGGGCGCGCTGCTGCGCAGGTGGGTGAAGATGTCGCGATAGGTGCTGACACAGTAGACAAGCGACGACCTGCTCGGTCGGGAAGACCTGGGCGGTGGCAGGGGGTCGCTGCTTGGCAGATCCCCTTTTTTTCAGCAAAGCTGCGAAGCCTTTCATACCGATGAGCTTAAGAGGTTCAGAGAGGGTGACGAGGGGACGGAGGTCCCCGGTCCCACGCCCTGCCAGGGGCAGGGCCACCCCTGCGGGCAGCCCGGCTGCCTCGGGGCTTTATCCCGTGGCGTCGGGAAGGCCTTTGAGTAGGGAGACCCCGCAGGCTCTCTGGGCAACTCGTTCCTCATTTTGGCTCTCCTCACGCTGAAGAGGTTTCTCCTTTTACTCCTCGTTTCAACTTGTGCCCGTTATGTTTCATCCTCCCGCCGTGCACCGCTGTTGAAAGCTTGTAAACACATCTCCTTGGAATGCTTATGCTGTATACGTTCTCCGAAATTGAGGCAGAAGAAAAAAGATGGTCTGTTTTAGCTGTGCTCTTCTACCAGTTTCCAGGTCTCTTGCATGTATGTAAATATATCCATGTTTTCAGCAAGGGTTACTGTGTAATTGCAGTTTCATCTATATCAGTGGTGCCCCAATAAAAGCTACTAACAGATTGACCGGATACGATTTAATGACCTCAGTGAATTGAGAGATACCTGTAAATGGCATGGGAAATATTCAGCCTTATGCAGGAGGTAACAACTGTTTTTTCAAATAAGAAAGTATACAGTAATATAGAACAAAGAAGGTCATAGCTTTTTGCCCAATTTAAAATAGTTGCCTCAGAAAACATGTATTTCAACAGAGTGAAATTCTCAAACTAAGCACGTGGACGATGAAGACAAGGGCTATGAAAACTTAGTGTTTCAAATAGGAAAAAAATAATTTCTTCTCTGTAATTATATATACAACTTTGCAAATTAATTTCTTTCTTAATTGTTTACATTTCGAATATATTTCTGTGAGGATGGCATACATAGTACCTCAGCTGTACCTGTTCCTACAGCTATTGATTTCTTTCCACACCTTAGAATTGGCGTAAACAACACTACAGAACGAAAATGACCCACTGGTTTCATCGCAACCCTCTGAAGGCTACAGCTCCCGTTTCATTCAATTTTTATGGGGTAGCTACCGCTCCAGCTGCAACAAAGGTTTGCAAGTAAGTGCACTTGTGATTAAATTCACTCTGCCTCTCACAGTTTAAGGGCATCCTTAAAAGTAATGGTTACTCTTCAGTTTTTGTTCTGAAGATGACTAGAAACGTGTAGGCTGGGAGACAACAAGACAGTGATAACGCTGAACATTTAGTTACAAAGAATGAATTATCCAGTTTTCAAGTCTCTGAGTGTATAGCAAGGCCTATTATAATAATGCAGAGGCAAAAGACTAAACATTTCATTGTCTTTCTGATGACTCTGCATTCTTCTGCAAAAGATTACTTAAAGTAATTTCCATAAGTGAATAAGGCATGAACGTTCTGTTGTAGATAGGAATATAGTGAAAAGAGATCTCAGAGATCTCGGCCTGTTTTGCAGATCTATTCTTATCTCTTCATATGCTCATCCTGTTCTAATGTTGAAGAATGTTCCTGCTTGTTACTTCTCTTCCCTCCCCCTCCACCCAACATCTTGGTGAATAAAGGCATAGTCACTTTAGTTTGTCTTAGAACAATAGATTGATAATGAGTACTGATTATGCGTTGCTGTCTGTCCAAAATGGATTGTACTTTAAAGAGTCAATTGTATGTACCCGGAGGAGAAAGGAAGATTTCTCTGTATTTATTGGCGTCTTCCTTATAAAGTACCTTTCCTTGCTTTCAGATAGCTAAATCAAATGCTTAGCTTCACTTTCTTAGCCAAAAGGGTGGTGGTATACATGTACTTTCTTGATACTACATTTTTGGGTATAATTTCTTAAGTTTATTTTTCCTTTTTTTCCCCTCCCCTTCATACAGTGATTTGAGGTTATCTCGAGCACGACTGTTGGAGCTGTTTACGGACTCGAGTTGTAATCCAGAAATGATGAAGAATGCAACTGACTTGTACTTCTCACTCTTGCAAGGTAGGAATATTTACTAGCAATACCGCTAATACATCAAGAGGTATATAAGTTGAGTTTTAATGACGCTTCTCAGGACGTGTATTTCACTGATCTTCTGTAAAGAAGCTTTGCGCTTCCCAGGAACGAGAGTATCTTCATGGATTCTATGCTTGATACCAGTCACGGGTACTCACCAGGCCCTTTCTACAAGTTTCAGTGTCCTTTGTGACCCTGCCAGTACTAAGTGTTGGCAGTCCTGTCCTCTTGCTTTTAACCTTATTCTGCTTCCTTCTGGAAGAGAAAACGTTTTTTTGTCTCTTAGATTGTGGTGAATTGCTCCTTAAGTATAAATTGGCTCTGTTAATTAGTTGACAGAAGGTGCTCTTCGGCGTAAACTTCTGGTTTGTCTAATGCCAGATAATAGACTTGTTGCAAGTTTACACTTCTGCTGCTCCTTGTCTTAGGTGTATGTATAGGTGCTCACTAGCATAGCATCTACAGTTTCAGTAGATGGTCACCTATGATGATGCATTCCCTTGAAACCTTCCTCCTGCCAATATTTTGATAACTCTCTCTTAGCTGTCAGGTGCTCAGGCAAGTTTGTTAGGACTGAGTTTTCAGGCATCAGCCGATTCATGGAAACTGTGATCTTTCAGTCTGTGGGAAGTGAAGCAGCTCAAGTTGGTGTAGTTCCCTTAGTCTCTGGGAGGGTGTAAGCTAATGCAACGTTCTAGATAAAGGTAAGATAACAGTCCATGTTGCTGCAGACAAGATTTGGAGAGTTTCTTCAGGAAAGCATCACGCTTGGTCGCTAAAATCTTCTGCATGTGAAAGGAACGAGTATTTTGTGTCTTTTAAAACACGTGACAGCACTGAGAGCTATATCCCCAATAGCGGCTGTTGCAAGTCTTGAGTTCTCAAAGTTTGTAAGACCTAATCAGGCCAAGGCCCATCTTACTCCTCCCTGAAAAATTCCTTGGGCCTGCATATGCTAGCATTTGAACATCCCATAGCATGAGCTTCATCCCACTGACTGCTGCTTTCTGGGCTGCTGGACGTAAAGAAGCAATTAACCGTAGCCCTGGAGACAAAAGAGATGATGACTAGGTGAGTCTGTGCTTACAAGCCCTTTTCCCTCTCCCTGTTGACCAGGCAGCTTTTCCTGGAATTTCTCGGTTGCCACTATGGTGGCAGGGACGGTCACTCGCTCACCTCAAGCAGCCCCAGCTGTCCCATACCTGGGTCAGTCCAAGTCCCAACTAGTCACCATACGGGACATGCAGAGATCTGCAAGGTTTTCCTTGAGCAATCAAGACTCACAAGGTTGAACTGGTAACCTGCCGGGCAGGGAGTTTCTTGTAGTAGTCAGTTTGGTTTTTATCACATCTTGTTCTCAAGATATTGAGGAATAAAAGCCTCAGGAAGTAACACGGGTTTTTGAGTGGTACAGCAAGAAACATTCTTTTATCTATTTTCATATTCTTATTGATCTCCATTACTTGTTTCTGTTTCTTACTTTGAGATTGCCTGGTACCTTTTTTTATTCTATAGGTTTTATCCTTTCACTGGATGACTCTTCCCAAGAATGCAAGTTGAGATATATTCAGAATTTCAAGTGGACAGACACATTACAAGGACAAGTTCCAAAGTATGTATGCTTTTATGATTACAGGGTATGCAGCTATTTTCTTCTGGTCTGTTATGTACATGCACGTGTGCCAGCACAGGTGTGAAGGAAAACTTAAAAGTGTAGCAAAATGCTGAACACAAAGTAGTTTCCAAAAACTTGTTGCTTTGCATTTTTGATAATTGCTGTACTGTATTAGGTGTTCTGAAGCATGTGTTGCCTTTACGTAAGGGTGTGATAACGCATGAGAATGGTAGAAGCATCCATTGTGTCTTAGTTGATCTACAAACTATATCTACAGTTCACTACAGCAGTACAAAGAAGAATCTTGAGAGTATTGGTGAATTGAATATAACATAGATTACTACAGTTTAGAAGTTTTTCATTTAGCATTATTGGCTGACCAGTATCTTCTGACTTTTTTTAAGCACAAATGTTGCTGAAGATCTGATCTTCTTGTCCTCCGAAGCTCCTATTACATGTACTCCTGGTACAAACAAACAAAGCTGCTGTTTTAAGTAGGAATATAGATCTGTAACCTTCTGGATTATTCAGTCATCTCTTGCTATTGTAGGTAATTGTGTTGTATAACCACGTTTACAAATTTGTCAAGCTTTATCTAGAAGAAGCGCTCGACTTCCGCATGGAAGACAATCTGTTGATTAGGACTCTCTTCGGGTTTTCTCGTGGTCATACACACTTGTTCTTGTGCCAACGTTATTCTTCCCACTCCCACACCTTTCTTTTTAAAGATTACTACTTCCTAAGCTATACTGAGCTTCTGATTGCAAGTTCACTCTTTTCAAGGACTATGTTTTTAACTTCTGAAATATTCTGCTATTCGCACATGCCGTTTGACTGAAGTTACATAAATACTTGCAATACATTCACTTGAGGGAGATGTAATAGACTCTGACTTATTAACTTAGCAGCTACAACTTTAAAGTAGACATTCCAGAGCAAGGCTTTCCACAAAATGTGCAATTTAAAAAGAAAAAAAAAAGATGGAAAAATGTCAGCCACACCCAAAGCTAAACAAATCTCAAGTTACTGTTTTAAAATAAAAGTTCCCAAATGGGAAGGGTAGGCATCTGAATGTGGGAAGTTATAATTATGAGCTCTTAAAGGGAGTAAGTAAAAACTGAAGTCTCTTTTAGGTATTTCAGCAAGTAGGAGGTTCTGAATTGGAAATTGTTGACTTCTTAAATGAAAAATATTTTGTGGAGTGAAATGTCGACTTATGCTATGTGAACTATCATCAGAGGGAGCTTGTCAGAACAAAGTGGAAAGCATTAAATTGTTTGGGGGGGTTTTGTCTGTCTGTCTCTAGTGCCCAGCAGGATGCAGTGTTTGAACTTGTTTCCATGGGATTTAATGTAGCTCTGTGGTACACAAAATATGCATCAAGACTCGCTGGAAAAGAAGAGTAAGTGTTTTTCTTTTCTTAGTAATTCCATTGCAGCAATATTCCACCAAAAAATATAGCAGGTTCTGAGTTTTCACTGCTGTAGTGCATGTCCAGCTGAGACAGTAGGAGTTCAAGGAGGCAGTTGGCCTTCATTCATGTGCTGTAATGTCTAAGTGCACTTCAGTCCCTTCTTGCATCTGTGAACAAAGTGTACTAGTACCATGTGACTGTGGTTTGGAGAAAGTGTCAGTTGTGAATAAAGCCTTCATCAGTCCTGCTCTAAACGTCCAGGTACAAAATTGAGATTCTCAAAATCACAGCTCTGCTGAGTTTTAGCCCTACAGATTTCTAAAGCTTTGGCTTTTAACACTGAGGCTACCTTTTATTTGAAAGTCATTACAAGGTCTTGCATTTCTTTTTTCAAGTGAGTTCTGTGTGATTATTTAATGATTGGGCGCTGTAAGAAACTTTTTTACCATGAAGGTAGCACAGCAGTGGGACAGGTCACTTAGAGTGTTAGTGCACTCCCCATTCTTCCTTGAAAGATTCAAGGTTCACTTAGACAAAGCCGTAACTGACCTGATCTACTGTTGTCAATAGTCCTGCTCCAAAGCAGGAAGTGGGACTAAATGACACCTAGAGGTCCCTCCTAACTCAAATTTCATTGATTCGTTCTATATTCTTAGTATAACAGAAGATGAAGCAAAAGACGTTCACCGAAGCTTGAAGATAGCAGCTGGGATTTTTAAACACTTGAAGGTAGATAAACTGTCTTTGCTGTCTGTCCTTTAAGTTGTCTCCAAGTACTTGACTTATTGTCTTAGAAAAGCCTTTGCTTTTCTGATGAGGGTACAGAATAAACAAATACATCAGATTATCTGAATGATACAGGAAAAAGAAGGGTATTGATATGTTGTGCTACCACTCTTTTTTTCTTTCCCAATGGCAGTGGAAGAGGTCTGAGTCTGTCTGCCCAGTAGCACATGCAGCAGCATGGCTAACCATCTTGGGACCTTCACGCAGTGTCCCATCTGTTTAGGAATAAGGGACTTGCTTTGCACTGGCTGCATTGGCAGCAGTGGTATTAAGCCTAAACTAACTTTGAGACTTGCTTTGTACTTAGGAAAGTCATATTCCAAAGTTGATTACACCTGTAGAAAAGGGAAGAGATTTAGAAGCTCGACTTATGGACTCTTACATCATACAGTGCCAAGCTGAAGCTCAAGAAGGTATCTTTAAATATACATTTGTTGGGGATGGGAGATGACAGTCTTTGTGGGTTTCTTTGATGTCTCATGAAGTCTGCTTGGCAGCAATACTAGTTTTTTCTTCTGAAGTACTGTGGCTTAGTGGGGCGGGTTGCTTTTAAAGAAACTTAAGTTACAATTATAGGAGGAAAATGCCAAAAATCAGTCTGATATTACAAATCTAACCGCTTTGGAAGAACTTGTGTGTGACATTCCTCCCCTCTTCTTTTTTCCTTTCATGCAGTCTCTTCACCACCATGCTTGCCTAACATAAATTCCCAGTTCCTTTAAAATATTTGCAGCTTCCGTTTACTAGCTAGTCTTCAGACTAAGCTTCCTTCAGCTTTTCTACTGATTTGGAATCATTCTATCCAAGAAACAATCTGTCTTTATTCTGCAGTTTGCTTAACTGCACAATACTTGTTTTCTGCTCATGCAGGGGTTTTAAAATGCTAAATGCCTCTGCTGATTTGATGTGACGTTTTCAATTAAACTTTAATACTATGGTGTGGAATTTTTTTTTCAGTGACAATTGCTCGGGCTATTGAGCTGAAACACAATCCAGGACTAATAGCTGCTCTTGCTTACGAAACAGCTAACTTCTACCAAAAAGCTGGTAAGTGTCTTGTTTTGTATCCTTAGTGACCTGGTTTATGCATTCTTGCCAGCAGACATACTTCACCCGCCTGTCAATTGCGATATTAACACTGTTTGTCAGTGGGCATGCTTTGTATATTTAGCTTCTGTTTAGTGCATTTAAGGTTTCAGTTATCACTGTAACAGATATATTTTGATAAGGCCTGTTGGTTTTGTGGGAATCTTTTTCTATAGCTAATGGTAGGAAATGTTAGTGAGGGGAGGCAGAAGACACAGTAATGTCTTGAGAATATGTAATAGCAGCAAGCAAATGGCTTGATGTAAACGGGGTGTGCTTCAACTGCCTTTGGGCAGCAGATGATGATGCAGGCTGTAAAGTGTGTAGCAGGTTAATTATGTACATCCTTCCAGATGAGTAAGCTGATCTGTGGGCTTGCTGAGGCAAGAGGGAAAAGTGCAAAAATACGGCAGTCAATGTAAGAGATGGAATATTGTAACATACGTAGGCTTTTATAGATTGCCACTTGAAATTAAACTAGGAACAAGCTTTGAAATGCTGCCTAAAAGTATTTAGGAAAATGAGCCTTCCAAACTTGGTGGACAGCAGTTTCAGGGATTCTAGGGACACCTACGTGATAGCTCAACAAACTGCATATTTTTCTTTTTTCTCATAGTTTCTTTGTGCCTTTGCAGGAGTAATTTATGTCACTTGTTTCTGGCTACTTTATAGTTAAGATCTGTTGCCTAGTTTAAGAATTCCGTCTTTGAGTATGTGTGGAATTTTTCTTTTTGGAAATGTCTTAAAGAATAACTTCACATATGTGTTCACAGATCAAACATTATCCAGTTTGGATCCAACCTATGCAGGTAAATGGAGGAAGTACTTAAACTTGAAGAACTGTTTCTATATGGCCTATGTAAGTACTTTGGCTGACATCCATCAGTTTTTAATGTTGTCTAAGGGCTGAGTAGGGAATGGGGGCGAAGTATTGCCTTGACTTTCTTTCCATGCTGTGAAGAGAGACTGTGCAGTGTCAGTGGCATTTGAAGTGGTTTTGTTGAGCCAAGTGAAATTACTGCAGTGTGGAATTTATCGTGATCACGTATCATTAAGTGAAGCAATTCAGGTTGAGCATAATACTTGTCTTCCATTATCTGCATCACAATCTCATTCTAGGCATAATTCAGAGCTGATCATCTTTTTGAAGGCCCTGAATGAAACTGCATCAAGTACTGTTAGGTACCATTCCAAGTGCTGTCCCTTTTTGCGTGACTGATCCCTTGGCAAGTGCAGTGGCACTCTTGGGATCATCAGCTGCTCAATTTGCTGTTTATTTCTTGTAGCCTGCCACAGCCTGTAATCTGGCTCTTTCATACTGTAAAAAAGGCCCAAACTAAGCAGCGAACATCATTGTTTTTTTCTTAAACCTGTAGCTAGAAGCTGCTTGCCTTATTAGCAAGTTCGAGAGTGAGGGAGGGTCAGAGCTGTGGTACTTTTTTTTAATTTGTGTAATATGGACAGTGGTAGATCCAGGTAGCACTTGCTATACTGTGAGAACAGACATTAAAGGAGGGTATGCAAGGTAGGCATTCGTTCATGGGGTTGTTCCTTTACCTATGGTATTTAGTATTTAAACTTAGCAACTCCTGATAATAGAAAAGAAGCCGCTCAGTTCTCACTGGACTACAGTACTGTCTTCAAACCTAAGTGTGAAGGAATGGGACTTTTTGGGGTGGAAAAGTTATTTGGACTATGGCAAAATATCTCAAGTGGCCAAACGCCTCATCTCTTCTGGGTTCAGTGATGTTTGTTGCATATTCAGTTTTTGAGTGTTCAGGTAGTTTGAGTTTTTAGAGCCTTTGCTTTGTAAACTTGATTGGGGTTCATCCTTGTTCTGTGAATGGGGCTTAATGCTGCACATTGATACAGTGAGAGAGAGAGGTTTGAACTAGACTGTGTACTAGTGCTTTTGGTAAAACGGCCTTCATGAAGCTCAAAGTTACGCTTGGCTAGACTTGAGACAGCTGGCTGCATACCTGCCTCACCGTGTTTGCGTTGAACTGCATTGTTCAGTGAACGCTGCTTTGACTGGCGTTCCCAAATTGTCAGCTGTCTGCAGGGAGTGGCAGCTTCAAAGAGGTGCAACTCCGATGTGAGGAAGAGCAGAGGTGAATCGGTGCGGGAAGGGCCCAGTGATGTTGGTAACGGTTTTGTCCTCTCCTATTAGGCGTACTGTTACCACGGTCAAACTTTACTGGCGAGTGATAAATGCGGGGAAGCAATCAGATCTCTGCAGGAGTCAGAAAAATGTAAGTGTGATTGAGACTGGATGACAGGGTCAAATGATGACGTGCCAGTTTTATTTTTCCCATAAACTTCATCTGTCACCTGATGAAAATCCAGCACACTTTTGAATGGAGACAGTATATTCTTCTTTTGTCTTACCAGAGACTGTCTTTCCTAGCAGTGCTGCAGGAAATTTCATCTTCACAATCTGTTAAAGACTGGCTTTGAATGCCTGTGATACTGTGTAAAAATCAATTGTCTGGTCACCACGTTTTCTGGTCTGGATGTTAAGTTACTGCAGCCTTTTCTGCTTTTGAGGTTGCTCTGTCTTACATTAAATAGTGAATCTAGACCATGTTTGTTTGTTTGTTTTTAAACAGGTTTCAGTAACTTATTTCTATTTGTTTGAAAGGTAGGTTAAGGGAAGTTTACAGTAGTTCAGGGTCTTCTGCCCATCCTTCTCTCTTCAAAGCTATTGCTACCCCAGTGGCCTGCACTGCATAACTTTACCACAATGTATAAAAAATGCTCAAATCATCAAATTGGAAACTTCTAATATTAATTTTAGAAAGAAATAAAAAGAATTAATTAAGAACAAACTAAGTTGGATTACTTGCAGTAAAACAAATACTGTGTTTTTTAGTGTGCCTGCTGTTCAGAGAAGAGTGCTTCTTTTCCCACTCCATATTCAGTGTTGTTTAAGAAGCAAGAAGCCTGAATAGATTCTGGTATCTACTAAAACTGAAGCACTGTAGATCAGAACCATGATTTAATAGATTCATATAAATGATTTTTATTACATTTCTTTCTCGCAAAGTTTTTGCCAAGGCTGAAGCATTGTGCAAAGAATATGGAGAAACCAAAGGGCCCGGGACTACTGCCAAACCTTCTGGACATCTCTTCTTTAGGAAATTAGGAAGTTTGATTAAGAACACACTAGAAAAATGCCAGAGAGAGAATGGATTCATGTAAGTAATTCGTGGTTGGTACAGTACTCCATATGAACTGTTAATACCTCACTTGCTTTTATTTCCAGACAGGATGGTAAATTTTACTCTCCAGTTCTTATATTCCTTTTGGCTATGGCATGTAACTTAGAGAATGGCAAATTTCTCTTTAATTTTCTCATAGTGGATTTGCTATGGGTCTGTGCTATCACCCTCTCCGTTTTCTGTGCCAGT